ATAGCCCTTAAGAAGGGCTGGCAATCTTTGGTTTTTACTGAAAATTGTTTGCCGAATCAGAAAGCTGAGGTGGTGTAGTCCGAAAGGGACGTAATGAGGAAAAGGCCGGGCGGTGAACTTTAACCGGTTTTCTCTTTAAAATAACTTTGCTGAAAGCAGAACAAAATAGGTCTAGGACAGTGTAAAATAAAGGGGCTTGGTTGTCATCTTTAGCCCGGTCGGTGACAGCGGGACACCCTAGTAGACGAGGGCTTACATGGTAACGAATGCACTGTCTTCACGCGCGAGGACTACACTGTTTTCTAAAAATGTATGAGAGTACTACTGCTTCTACTTATATTTTATTTAATTGTTATCACTTTCACCAGCAATTCACTTTTCATGTGAAGTCAGTGTTCAGAAATAATTTCTTAAATAGGATTTACATTTACATACAATAGACATCTGTTGACGCAATCCTCACGCTGGGAGGGTGAGAGAAAGCAGCAATCCTCACGAACCAACTTTTATCATCATTGCCAAAAGTATCCTTTACAGGATATGACAATGGTTCGTATAAATATTTACATTGAATTTGAAGTAAATATGAAAAGTTGGCCAACAAATCGAATCAATATTTGGACAACATTGTCGCTGCACGTCGCTTACAAATGGCGGAGAAAGTTTTAGATTTCTGTGACAAATGGGTAAAATGGCAATGAATTACTAGAACAGCCCTTGTGTAAGTATATGTGTATTTATGCACACTTAATTATGTATAAGCAACAAAGAACTTTGTACGACGAGATGTGCGTAACAAGTGAAAGCAGACAAGGAAGCGCGTGATATAGTTTTTCCAACAGCTCGCTGCGCGGATTAAGCAAGTGTTACAGGTGTAATGGAGAGAAAGCGGTTCTACAGTTTGCTGGCAGAAGTTAGACAAAAATTTTAAAAATGTTAAAATGAAGGGTTATTTTGAAATTGAAATTAACTGTAAATCCAAAAATAACAAAATTACATTAAATTCAAAATAATTTAATTAAATGTTAATTTAATAAATCGAAATAAAACATATTAAGTTAAAAAAAAATTAAATAAAAAATAAATTTAATAAATGGAATAAAATTCAAATGGTTAAATTAAATTCATCTGAATAAAACTAGAATAACTAAAATTATATTAAATTAAATAAATGGTAACTCGGCTAACATGGCCGCCAAAAAATAAATAAATTTAATTTAATTAAATTTAGTGATCATGAAATAATTTGAGAAACAAAGTAGAGGAAAATAAAAACAAAATTAGAAATAAAATTGATAAAAATAAGATAAAACCAAATAATAAATCAAAAATAATTAATTAGAGTTAATTTCAATAAAATTGGAGTACAAGAAAATATTAAATCAAATGAAAAAATTTAATGTAATTTAATTAAATTAAATAGAACAAAAATAATTTATATAAAATAAAATAAACAATATTTGTCATAAACTAAAATTAATTTGTACAAACTAAATATGAAAAACAAAACAAAATGAAAATGAAAATTCAATTTATGATATAAATGAAAATGAAGAAAAGGGAGATAAATAATGTATGCAAGAAATTAAAATTAAATTCAATAATAAGATATAATAAAAAATTAAAGAAAAATAAAATCATTTAAAATAAAAGGATATTAAACAATAAATTACGTAATAACTAATAGCCGAGTGATGAGCATTGCCTACTGCCATTCTGAAGAACAGAGTTAGAGTATTGGTTCGACCAACATCCAAAATCAATGTAAATTAATTCAAAAAACAAGATCAAACTCAAGTGTATTCCTGGCGTGAAATAGAAGCTCCTCTTAAAAATGAGTCGGCCATTCGGAGGCGACTTAAAATAAACTATATTATTTGGAAAACCTTGAGACGTGCACCACCAATTGGAGGACGAACTCGGCCGAATATTTGCTGGTACAAAGTGCCAATTATATTATATATTAATAAAACGAAAATGTAAGAAGAAATTAAATACAAATGTTAAATTAAAATAAAATGCAATAAAATAAAAGTAAAATAAAATTATATACTCATTATAAATTAAATCAATTTAAATTAAGTTTAATTGAAATTTATAATGAAAAAATATTTAAAAGCGATTAAAGTGAAAAAATAAATTATGTGACATATACTAGTTCTGTAATTCTTGCCACATTCACTTACAAAAACTTTATCTTCATTTTTGCACACTTCCAATTCCAATTGAATGCCCCCCATCATAGAATAAGCGTAAAAGTTTTGAGTGCTTCAAATGAAGTTTCAATTTTCGAATGCTGCATTAGTGCAAATAAGTAAAGCAGTAGGAAAATAGCAGTAAAGCGAGTTCACTAATCTGTTTCCATTAGTGAAATTCTTGTTTTGTGGTTTTGAGTTCATTGAAAAGTTTGCTGGTTTTGTAATTACTACCAACAACAAGCACGACGTGTGGTCCCGTTAGTAAAGTAAATATATGCAATATATTTTGTGTATACTCGTACACATATACATATACATATTACATGAATAAAATGGTGGTAAAATGAAAGCTTCGCTTGAAATTATTCAGTATTTATTTAGAACACAAAAAAGGTTTTATAAAAATTAGACGTATGTATTTATAGGTTAGAATTTATGTACTTTCCCATTATATAATGACGGTTTGAATGCTATTATACGCATATTATACCAATTGCATGAACCCACGAGTAATTAAATGCTTTGGGCGGAGAAACTCTCCCCTTGTTGCTTCTCAACCCTACTTAAGAGCGTTACTTTTCCATGAATGAGTACCTTAATAAAAAGCTAATTTCTGGTTTTGCTATGAGTATTGGTTTGAATTTAATTATCGCCTTTATTAATGGGTAACCGCAAGTCATTTTGGGGTACCAATTAATTAAATAAGCATAGATTTTTATTAAATATTTAGTAGCAAAATTCGTTGAGTCTTTCTCAATGATTTATTTTTTTCCTTTATATAATTTTTTTTAATTTTATTTGACTCAGTTTATTTTTTTTTGTTTTTGTTTGTTTGTTTTATTTTATTTCAATTCCTTCTAATTAGTTTAATTTTATCGTATTTAATTTTACTTTTTACACTTTTTATAAAATTTTTTATTTATTATTTTTTTATTATATTTTAATATTTGATTTTATTTTATTAAAGAATTGTTATTAAATTATTTTATGTTATGTTATTTTTTTTTTTCCTAAATTTATTATTATTACTTTTTTAAATTGACTTAATATCATTTTATTTTATTTCATTATTAATTATTATTTTAATATTTTTATTTTATTTTATCCAATTTTTATTTAGTTCTTGCTTTAATTTTATTTTACTTTATATTGTATTATTTTATATAGATATTTTTTTATATCTTTTTTTCAATTTGTTTTTTTTTTGTTTTATATGAATTTGTATTATTAATATATTTTATTTAATTTTTATATGTATTTATGTTATTTATAGTTTTTTTTTTTAATTTGTTAATGCTTTTATTTGGCTTAATTGGATTTTACATTATTTTACGTCTTTCATTTAATTTAATGGAATTTGCTTTTATTCTTATTTTTTACTTTATATTTCTACACTTCCATTTCTTCCTTCCATTCACTTCCCCTCACAATTTAATTAAGTAATACATCTCTCATTTATTAATAAATTATTAATCATAAATTTCCATGACACTCACAATAGTAAATACATAATTACAGTTATTGAATAAATATTTTATTGTCAACTATCAATCACAAATATGAAAGGTCCAAAACGATTTCAGTGCATTCAAAAACGTGATAAACCAAACGAAATGTGGTCAATCAAATTTTTTATCGCTGCCATTTTGTAGCAAATTGCAAAATTGCAATTTGCATTATTATTTAAGGCACTATTATGGAAAATACAAATAACGGTCGGCATAAGCAACGACACTTGTAACGGTGATTAATAATTGAACAAAGCGAAGTAATTAATCCAAGTGTTGCAATTTAAATGCAAGGATGCATTTTTAATGTAAAATAAATTGTTGCATTGCATTTATTTTTATAAATAAATACTCTATTGTTGAGAGAAGATCTGTTATTGATTTTAAATGCATCAGCAATAGCTCAGAGTTTTATTTGACTGTAAATGGCAAGCAATTTCATAGGCGAGTGCCAGTGATGACTATTGAAATTATTTTTTATTAAGCAATTATAAAGTCATTTTGCTGTCACAATACAGTGATGTGCAAAATAATTACTTCGTAATAAACGCCATATATTAAACAAATTTTAAAGTTTAATTTTATATTAAGAAGCTTTTGAGAAAGTTTTCACTTTTTTTGGTTTCTTTCATATATATTATTTGAAGAGCGGTATGCTTACGGCTTTATTTTATTTTGTTTTATTTTACTTTACTTCATTATATTTTATCTTATTTTTTATATTTTATTTATTTTTTATTTTATTATATTATGATTCAATTTATTTCACTTATTTCATTTTGTATTATTTATTATTTATAATTTTTTTTTGTTACTGTTTGTTTATATATTTTCCTTTATTTATTCTATTTAATGTTATTTCCATTTATTTATTACCTTTGTTATTTTTTTTTTTTTTTTGATTATATTGTATATATTTAATAATAATGCAACATCTTTGTTTTTATTTTGATTTTTCCAATTTTTTAAACTTAATTTTTTATTTATTTATTTCAATCAAATTTCTGATGAGGAAACGAGTTGGATTGCGAAACAACAGCTATAACTTTTACCGTCCAAAACTGTTGTTGTATTTTTTTAACATATTCCAAAAAATATATGGCCTGAGACAGTTCCACAAAACTGAAACCCAATAACAAATTTATTTTAATCCTTTTTTTTATAATTTTTTAGCTTCTTATAGTTTTATTATTATTATTTAATGTTATTTGAATATATTTTTCACTTAATTTTTAAAATTTTGGAATTTTATTTCCATTTTGTTTTATTCATTATTTTTTTTTATCGATTTTAGTTCAGTTTGTTCATGTTTACAATTTAATTGCTTTTTTACCAGCGGAGTTATTGACTGAATGATTACGAGTAATGCCTAAGCGAATTCAATTGAACTCAATAGTAAATTAATTATTTTAGGTGAAACACAAACCAATTGACAGTAATTAGAAAAACGCTCATCACAACCCACCGACGGAATCTAAAAGTCATTAAGCAAAGCAATTTCTGTGCGAGAGAAGGTGAGTGTGGGTTCGACCGATGAGTTGGACAAATCCGAAATTAGTTTTGGAAAAAAGTTCGCCCCACTACCTATTTGTTAATGAGAACAGAGTTAGCATAAAATTCCAACAACAAATATAAAGTATTTAAAAGCAGATGTCGAAACCATTAGAATGTGCCGAGCTTCTGCGTTTGTTGATCTGTAGCCTATTCATTGCAAACACATTGCAGGTGAGCAAAAACCAAATGGAAATTTTTTTACTCAACCACATTTTTCTCCTCCCTTCTCACCTAGTACTGCTACCAATTGGAAATTCTCAGCTTTCGCAGCCACGACACACCGGATTATCGTCTGACCATGAAACGGCAAAGTAACGGCACACTTTCAGCTACGACGCATGTTCTGAAAACGGTAAACATGCCCACCTGGCACATTCAGCTGCTGCAGTTGAATACGAGGCGCAGTCAGTTGGGCAAAATCGATCCACCCAAGTCGCTCTACAACGCCACTTACAAGACCTGCGAATTTTGGAAATATGTAAGGCGTATACGCGTGTTCAGCAATGTGGCGCAGCAGTTGCTCTCCAAGGGTGGTGGCAATATGAGTTTGGAATGTCCTCTGGCAGCGGGCACTTATGTTTTCAAAAATATTCAGGTGCCACCCGATACGGGCATGCTGAAGCTCATGTACTGGCCGAATACATTGTATACTCTGATTGGTACGGTCTATGATCGGCAGTCGGACAAGTCTTTGGTGAAATTATGTTATTACGAAATCAATGGTACCGTTATTAAGTCGTGTTGATTTATAGAAAAGAAGGATTTAATTAAATGGAGAAGACTTTTATCTTTATGAGTAATCATTATGCGCATTATCAATCACACATTTTAGCAATAAATATTATGTGAAAATAAATATTTTAGTGAAACAGTTATTTATTGATTAATTATTTTTTTTTTTTTATTCTTTAGTTTGGTTTTGGTGCGGTCGAATTGTGTTAACCAAAAAACATTTTTTCTTGATTAATTGTTTGTTGTTGCTTAACAAAAAAAAATGTTTAAGGTGTGTATAACTTCTAGAGAATATAGAAAAAAAAATTAAAAATATTTAATTTCACTCTGCGAAACTACAAATTTTAATTGCCAGCCAAATTGCAGCCCAGTGCGTGTGACCTATTTTTGTGGCACTCCAGCGGCGCCCAATCATGCGAGTATTAGGCTTTGTTTTGCTTTTTGCCGTTTCCAGGCACTTCGTTTAATAACTGCATACTTCTATTTGCCATTTTTGAATTATCACCCTTTGTTTCACCAGTGCACAGTGCACGTTGCACGTAGAAAAACATAGAAAGCCTGCGTGTCGTGTTGCACTTTGTGCTGCAATTTTTCATAATTACCGCTATTTTAAGCGCAGCACTGTTTGTTGTTATTGCTTCATGCTATTCTCTTGTGTGTGGGCGTGTGTATGTGTGATTTCCTGTTGGTGGTGGCTCCGGTGTAGCATGCACCATTCACTCTTTTGTGCTGTTATTGCGTTTCTTTGTAGCAATGACTTGGCGGCTGAAATGTTATGTCCTTTGTTTGGGTTCAAACGAATTTTTGGATTTCTAATTAGCGATTACTACACAGCTGCATTTACATAGATATATAAAAAATTCTATTTTCATAATGCAAGTGAAAAACGCGATATGGCAAGAGACCAAAACCGAAGGAAGGAATGAGCACAAAAAGTTTAAATTGGCAACTAAAAGACACAAATTGGGCCTAAATTACTTATTTTTTTTTACTTTACTTTATTTTATTTTATTTTACTTTATTTTATTTTATTTTATTTTATTTTATTTTATTTTATTTTATTTTATTTTATTTTATTTTATTTTATTTTATTTTATTTTATTTTATTTTATTTTATTTTTGTTGGCTCAACTGGCCTTCACCTCCCCCACCGTTAGCAAAGTCAGATGTTAAAAGGAAAGTTGCAAATATTGAAAATGAAAAACACACACGAAATAAGAACAAAGAAAGCCAAACATTGCTATATATAATATTAACTGCGTTGGTTGGGCTGTATATAAGTATTTCCATGTATAAGCGTGTTCGGAGGGTGCACAAAATTCTTTGGTCTCGATAATTGTTAAAAATTATATAATATTAAAATTGGTATTTTACTTATTTATTTTGAAATTGGTTCAAGTTTGATGCTTTGAAAAAGTACAAAATTCGTCTCTGAAACATTTGATTCAAAATTTCAAAATTGTTTTTAAATCAGTTTGGTATTAACTTTGAAATTAATTTTTTCATTATTTTTTTGTTGGAAATATTTCATAAGGGATTTTGCCAAATGAAGTTTTCTACTTGTCAGATACCGAGAACACCAAGCGAATTTCAAAAAAAAATTAAAAAAAAATAAGTAAATTTTTAAAGAACTTTCGAGCTACCCTCACTTACGGAAATCTGGATGTACTTATACTCATACGCGCACATTCCTTGATACCACAGAAAATTACATTGAAATCGGACAAAAAATGGCACAATTCATAAACACAAAGGGAAAAGCTACTAAAACTGGCATATTGAAGCTGCAACTGCGCATATTTGTACAAGCACACATACATATACATATGTATATTCTCTTGTACTTATGCCAAGAGCTTGAAAGCAAAGTTCAAGTATTGAGGCGTGACAGAATAAGAGAGATGGAATGAAGAAGATGAAGCTGAAGCCGAACACGGAACGTGCATGTTGGACAGCGGCATAGACACGCATAACAACGCCCACCCATTCATAAATATGTATAGAAACATATGTGTGCATATAAATTTACATACTCATGTACTCGTATACACATATACTATGTAAGTGCCGCGGAACTGGATCAGCAAGTTGTCTGACTGGCGAAAAGGACTTCAGCTCGAGCGTGTGTGTGTATGTATATATGTATATATGTGTCAGGAGCACAAAAGCAAACATAACAGCAAATTTTCTTGTTTTCTCATGTGTTGCACGTTTTCCCAGAAATCAACGACACTTACATATAATGCATAAATATATTTATATATGTACATATGTAAATATATATACCCGTCGGAGCCATAAAATATGGTAACAAATGCTTTTGTATTTATATGTATGTATGTACACACATGTGTGTAGAACTACGTATGTAGTATGTTGATTATTACAACATGGAATTTGCAATGGCTTCCAGTGGCATGAAAAGTAAAACTCAACGGCAAAAGTTTCCGCAATGCAAATCTTCACATTTTCTGGCCAAATTCGTTAAAGGAATTTTTCTGCCTTTGAAACACAAAACAAGGGCGTACAATTTTTCTTAAGACAGACGCACAGTTATATAAATACGATCATATACATATAAACGCTCAAGTTCAATGAAGCTTTCCCTGTTCTTTGGTATAGTGAAAAAAGTGTGAAATTGCGGATTTTTTTATTTGTACCGTTATTTGCTGATTGCCAAAGTACTTCTCAAAGGCGAAAAAGCATTCCTAGCAACCGTTATTAGGTAATGAAAAATGCGTATTTGTACATACATACATATATACGCACTACAATAAATTCACAATTTAGGGTAGTGAGATTTCGGACAGGTGATACTCGATTTTAAAATATTACTTGCAAAAATTAATTGATAAGATTGTTTTACTCACACAAGCGCATAGCTATGTACATTGTTATATAATTTTAATGAAATGTACGGTCAATTCTTAAGTTATTTGAATTCATTAAAGAAAAACTTTAAAATTGGATTTTGTTATTAATCAATTAATCGAACAATTAAATTGATTATATATTTAGTCAATAATTTTTAATTAAATAAATATGTAATAAAAGCCCGTCAAGTTTCCTCAGATACGATTGATTAATTAACTAAGGAATAAATCTAACCCACCAAACATTCAAAAATCAATTAAAAACTAATTAATAATTAATAATTTCTTTTAAATGAATATTTGATCAATTATTTGCAATTGTAATTTTAACGTCTTCTGTATGAGAGGTTATGTGTATTCGCTTGTCTGCTCAGATAAGCCCAAGACGATTGAAGCCTTGCTGCATCAAATAGTCGCAGATTGGGTCACTTGCGCGAAGTCCTTTATAAAACATAATGACAGACCCACACCTATATATCTATATATATATATATATATATATATATATATATATATATATATCAAAGCTAAATTCTTGGTCATAACATTAAGTTATATATGATTTATTTCTTCTTGAAAACCGCCTATTTAAAAAAACCATTTGGCGGTCGCAGTAGCCGATCGTTTAGCAGTGCGCACTGCAATTCTAAAGGCTAGGGTTCAAGCCACAAGCTACAGTCAAAATTATGTCAAGCCCTTCGAGGGTACTTCTAACATAAAATAAAACCACTTCATAAAAATCCATCGGCCGTTCGAATGCGTCTTAACATAAGCATTAGGTCCCTCCATTTAAAAATGTTTGAATTATATTATTGACCATCACTGCTGAGGGGCGACCGCAATTAAAAAAAATTTCAATAATCTGAAAACAATATACGCACATATATTTACATATATGTAGATATATATATTTTATTTATCTTATGAAGAAAATTTTTTGTGGAATGTTCGCGTATAGTTAAATTTTCTATTAATCTATTTCAATATTTTCTAAATTTATTTTTTAGTGCAATATTTTAATGGAAATTTCAATTAACTGTCCATTTATAATTAATTAAAAAAATATTTACGATTAAGCGTAATATTTTTCCTACAATTATTTATTAATATTGTATTTTAGTGACAATTTCAATAAATTTTCAATTTATATATATTTGGCTATAGACAATTTTTATGTATGTATGAATATTTTATAACGCAAACGTTTGGTAAAACATCAGCTCAACTTTATTGAAAAAATGCCCAAAAAACGATGAAGTTTTTATGAAAATATCCTTCAAAAAATATTTCATTATTTATATATTTGGTCATATTATTTTTTTGTTTTTAGTGCATAAATTCGACATAATTTGAAAGCTTTCAAAATCACGACATTTTTTCAATAATAATTTATAAAAAAAAAAAAAAAAATATATATATATATAAAAATTTCGTTTAATGCTAAACGCCTCATTGTGTGGAGTACTTTCGCATAGGCATACACATGTACACACATACAAATATACCACCCACATGCGTGTATGTGAACATTTGTAACCTGATTAGGTATATTTGCTTCTCGTGTGAAATAATATTTATGTTGAAAGCACACGTGAAGTACATTAAAGTGTCTAAATTACGCTAATGAAAAAAGTATGCACACCAACACACACAAACACACACCGACGCAAAAACAAAGGATGAGCAAAATAATTACAACTGCAGTTCGCCCAAGGCGAGACTTGTTTTACTTTAGGTAAATAACGCAAAAAATATATGTAAATATTTACACATGCATACATATGTATTTGTGTATGTATATAGACAGGAATACATGGTTGTTTGCAGGATAAGCAGTTTAAAAAAAAATAAATAAATAGAATAAAAAATATAAATAGGAAAACCTCTTTTTCATTGTAGTCAAGTATCGATGTTGTTGTAAAAGTCATTTTGTTTAATATTTTTTTCCCACTTTTCACACTTCAAACGTTTCGCAAAACCACTTAACACCATTGTAATAAGTTTTGCTCATTTCTCTTTGGTGTCATTCTTAGTGGCAATCCCAATTAAAACTCTTATTTTGCTCTTACATACTCATATGCACATACATATATACATAGACATATGTTATTTCCCTAAAGTCCAAACTCTGTAATGACTTCATTATTCCGCTAATAGCTAATATGATGCTCATACATTTGTTATTGTTGTAAAAATGAAAATAATTGGCACACTTGTATATTAAATTACAACTCTACGCAACTCATTAAAAGCCCGACATTGTTTTACAACTAAAAACGTAAATTTTCATAA